AGCACTAAAATGATATTTTAAGCCCCAGATTTATCATTGCATGGGGAATAGTGCCACTGATTGTGGTTTTTAAAAAAAATAATAATCTAGTTGCATATTTAGAACTTACCTTAGTTTGGATCATGCCAAAACGCTGATCTCGCAAATCTCTCACTATCTGCTTGATGTTGAACTATCGGAAGAGAACAGTTTTTATTTGGTTGACATGCATGTTATAAAAAAAGATTTAAGCATATTCATATGGGCAAACTGTGACAGTTTTTTTAGAAATAGTAGATTTGTAGTTACTTACTTTGCTGTTTAAAACAATGAAAGCTGGGCTTATTCTTTGTTAGAACAAATTCTTACAGGATTTATTCTGTTCTAAGAGATTTCACCATGTTGTTGACATCCATACCAGTTTGTAATACTTAACAATGACCTGTTTGATACTTACACATAAATCTTTTTCTATATGGCTGAGAAGAATTTCAACACACAGCAAAACTCCACTTCTTCCAATGCCAGTGCTACAGTGAGCAATAATAGGTCCAGTCCTGTGAGCTTTTCTCATGTAACAAATAAATTTTACAAGCTGCTCAGCCAGTTTGGAAGTATTGTGCTCTGGCCAAGTGATAAATTGCAAGTGATTTATAATGCGCTTTTCTTCTGTCTGGAAGAGAGAGACCAGAAAGGTTAACAATTATCAGTTCCAAAACCAATTTTCAAGGAATTCCACTAAAAATTTCCTTCAGCCTTATTCTTAAAATTGGTAGTTTACAATTCTTTAGCTTTTCATACTTGACTAAATTAAAGTTTCTTTAGGTTTCAAGAAATGCACTCAGAAACACAAGACTAGAAAATTTACTTCTTATGACTTACAAGACTGCAGTTACTCTGTTGCCTTGAAAGAATGGAATAATGTCATTTGTTAGTTAGAAAGGAAAAAGAAAAACATTTTTTTAATTAGAACCATTGCAATACTCTTTGCTAAAACTGTTTTTGTAGCTAAGTTAAGCTTTACTAATAGAAGAGTAGTAATATGAGAGCCACTCTCATATTATGTGATATATCTGTAAATATATCTGATGACTATCTGATGTAAAAGAGTAACTTTATATCTGATAAATATCTGATGGCTATCAGATATGAAAGAATAACTTGTGATTAGATTCTCAATATGCAAACCAACTAAAAATGCTTACAAGAATAAATAAAATGTAGATAAAATAAAAAATAATATTAATTAAATGTTCCTGGGTCATCACTTCTTGTTGCCAGTTCACAAAGTCATGTTAAAATCTGAATGTTATCTACCTGGATTTTTACAATCAGAAGAATTTGGATGTAAGCATGGATTTCTTTTGAAGTGGACCTGTGGCTTTCTTTAATAGTTTGCTACTAATTTTCAGTACAAACCTAGCAATCTTACATGTTCATTGAAACAATCACATTTGGTGTTCCATCTTGCCATTTTAATAGTCTTTTGAAAAGACTTGTATCAAATACTTTACAATGCTTCACACTCAGTGACATAAGGTGAATTTCCTCAAATAAAAAAAAATTGTTACCTTGATGGAAAAAGTCACCAAGTTTAGTCTGCCACAGGTTTTTTTTAATTATTCCATCAAATAATATGTCCTACAGATATCTTTGCAAAGCTTTACTTAATATCAAGGCAAGACTGATGGGCTTATACCTGCCCTGTTTTCCCTGTTCTTCCACCTGGATTCTGTGTTTGTTCAGTTTCTAAAAAATGCTGCTAGATTTGTAGTTTCATGTGTGTTTGTGTCTTTTCATGAACAATAAAAGTATCATTTGTCCTAAATTCTAGGATGAAAGCCACCTTCTTCCCTTCTTTCCATCCAACCATCATTACAGAATTTGAATCCACTCTGACATGGATGTGATTTGATACGAACAGTAAACAATTCTGTAAAACACTGAACACACCAGTTCTGTGACTGTTAGAGGTCTTGTTTTTGCAAGTTCTTGTCTAAATGTATGTAATATTGGATCCATTGCTTGTGTAATGAGCAAAAAAGAAGCACCTCCTTAACCTTAATTTCATGCCTGTTACTCAGATTTTTACCTCCCTAAAAAATACTGAGCATATATTATGGAAGAATCAAACAATACTACTTGTATCCACTCACATAAACTACATAATCAATTTAATCATGTATGAAAGTATTGTCAACTTACCTGCTTGTTGATAATTTCTATTTTTCTAATTATGAAGTATTCCATAATCTGGTAATTGTGTAGCCTGAGATAGAAATTAGCCAGGTCTTTAGAGTCATAGGGAGATTCAGGCCAGTATCGATGACATTTGACTTGCCCTAACTCCACTTCTTTTGTCATCATGGCAATCACATCTGATTCACTCT